GAGTTATTTATCTGCATGTGTATCCTTCGCTTTTTTCATTAGTAAAATAATATATAAGCTTTCACCTACCATCTTATGACTATTCTTGATTAAGCAGCACTTTTTATACTAAGGTTAAGCGGTTGCAGTTCAGCCGACACGATAAATCAAACGCGCGCTAATAAGTGGTGGGCATCAAGTATCACATGCAAATGAGCTATGTAAGGGTATATATATTATGTCACCCAGCTATGCTAGCTAATTGAGCTAGCATAGCCTGTCTTTTTGAGCGATCCTCATGCACAAAGGGTGACTGTGTGACACATTAGCTCCTTTGCTTTAGCTGATAATGCCGCCCCTTCAAGCAGTAACCTAAGCTTTAGTGAAGTCTTTGCCTTTCCAACGCAGCAGCCTGAATTTGGATGAATTTGAAGATCATATTGGATTTCCCTTAGACGCTGCAATGTCTAGAAGATGCTAGGCAGCAAGCCAGGGGATCGCGGTCCCCTCTAGTACGAAAGACAATCACATGCATAAAGCTAGGTGTCACACAGTCACCCTTTGTGCATGAGGATCGCTCAAAAAGACAGGCTATGCTAGCTCAATTAGCTAGCATAGCTGGGTGACATAATATATATACCCTTACACTAGGTAACTAAAGATGGGTCAGTGAACAAGCACAATGAGCATATAAGTCTTAGGACTTGTTTGATTTTTAGATTTTGTATTATATCTTGCTATCAACATTCCATGCCCCGCAATGAAGGGTACAAAAGTTCATAAGGTTATATAGATACTAAGGGTGTGATTAACTCATTCCTGAAGCCAAAGGCAGCCCTAACGCTGCGCGTCATCGCGTGGCTGGCTAAACCAGGTGAGGAAAATCTGCGATGTTGACCATTGTCAATCTGAAAGTCCAGCATAGGTCATGATGTTGGATTCACTCAACCTACAAGCACTGCTCCTCTGTTGCCGTCCAGTAATAGATGAAGAATCTGAGGATTGTAGGTAGCTAAAAATAGATAGGCCCAAAAATGGGACCTCTTCAGGGTCAGGCGCATGCGCACCCCAAATCGCTCTTCGCTCGCTTTGTTCCTCCCTATTAATGTGGGTGTCGGCGTCGCGAGCCGCCCGGTGTCGGGAGCCAAATCATAGGTACTTCGACTTCAAAGAAATCTCAATTCTATTACACGCATCTATAATTTATTAATCCTCTATAAGTCCTGCGGTTGGGTCACCCCGGACACCAGAGACATGCCTCAACCAAAAATTACGCTGGCGTTACACTACCTCGTCGCTTGTTGTGGTGAGTCTCCCTTTAGTGGCGTTATAGGACACCTACACCGCAACCCACCATTAAGCTCTTATTACCCTTAACAGGTATAATATAGGTCTGTCTAAGCCCGAGAGCCCTGCTCTCATGTAAATAAGGTCTCTTCAGCCCTGTGGCGGCGAGGAAGAATGATTCATGCAATGACGCCACGTCAGTTGGTACTTTCCAATCAGCGCCATATGATCCTGGTCAGATCGAAACGCTGCCTGTACGTCTCATAAAATCATTACGAAGTAAATTATTTACATAATATCTTATACAGGTGTGGCTGATAGTGTGGAATTGCCCAACGACCGTGCTATTGGTTACTCTATTTTACTTGCGTGCGACGCTCGATAGCCCGATCGAGAACAGGCCAGGCGGGGCAGTGTCTATGCTATGCTATACAGTCAGCGCTCCTGCTAAGCGACTGAATTTACAGGCATCTTGAAATCCAGACTGAGCAGCAGGTCTCAAGGCATGTCACGCAAACTGGTTCCTGAACTCGTGATTCGCAAAAGCGTGATGGCCACACGTGATCGAATTTCAAAGAACAGTGTAGAAGAATCGAAAACAGATGTTAACTTACGGATGCCGTTCATTGTCAACCACATCACCTTCAGCCCACCTTAGTAGGAGATATCTCTCAATCATCATTATAGCGAGATTCTCGTGCTTCAGTTATCGATCTTAAGTTGTTGAGTTGGCGTCAAAACTATTATGCATCGATTTTTAATTACGTCGCGTTACACCGCGGATACAGTCTGGGTCAACTGCCCTTACTGTCTTGAAGAGCATCAATACACGTACGATGTGCTTAGTGCGATTAGACAGTTCGCAGAATTCAAGGATCGGAGTCAAAAGGACCGTGCTAGGCGATGCGTTAAAGTTGTGAAGCCGAACCTACTGGTTTTTTCGCTTTGTTTGGGAAGTCGGAAAATGGCGCACATCATCCGTGATCGTTGAGACATACACAGATTTAGAAGCAAACTACCTCTGTTTCCATACTGTAGGACTAAAGAACCATAAAACGACTGAGAATGACTTAAGTCTGGAAACAGCTAAGGTCATGGAGGACCTTGAGCAAATGGCTTTAGGTGCTGATGAGCGTCCGAACCAAGAACATATTGATCGTCTTTGTATCGCCTGCGACACCAACCAAATACGGTCAGTGGTCTCATTACTTAAAACGTTCCCTGAGCTCATTAATATGTCGGATCGCTACGGAAATACCGCTTTACATCATGTCGCATGCAAAGGTCACAGGAGCTTAGCCCAGTTTCTGATGACCAGGAAGGGCGTGAATCTGGATCATGCAAATGCCGTGGGAAGGACTCCTTTGATGGAGGCTGCATTGTGGGGTCAGATCGACGTGGTGCAGACTTTGATGAATCACGGAGCAAAGACGTTGCTAAGCGCATCAAGATGCTCACAAAAGCTCACAGCCTACGATTTTGCCGAAGACACGATTGCAAATGAGAAGGAGCGATATGATAGAAGAGCCTTACTAGAGTCCAGTGCACCGCAGCTGGAGCTTCCACGCTACCTAGAAATGCAGGACCGTCAGACGATCCGAGAATTGCTGGCGGGCTGCGGGCTTGAGCGATCGAAATTTGAAGCTGCAGACGAAGTTGCGTTTGTCAAAGCCTACGCCAATGACGATAACGTGCTGATGACTTGGTTCCTTGATGTCGGGACAGGAGTGCCAATTAGCGATTGCAGGAAAACAGTCGCGCGGCTTGACCGCGGCAATTTGCTTCCAGTGACTTACGCTTGCAGTGGACGGACGAGGAGGGATCGACCTGAGCGTGGATTCCATATTCTAGACGAGAAAGAGATGGAGGAAGTGGTGCTAACACTTTCTATACTGTTGGACTATCCAATGGATCCTTATTTCAGATCTCATGCCGAGGTTCAATTAATGGCTCATTATGTGCAACAACATTGTTTACTACCAGGGCTCCGACAAGATGGTAAAGCGAGC